AGTAAGAATATTACAATAAAAACAAAATAAAATGACAAAGAAATAGGCAATTAAAGTCCCTAATACATTCTAATATTGAAAATCCATTACCTTCTTGTTTTTATTTCTAAAACGTTTTTATTTCTAAAATTTTTAAAATTCTGTTTGTGTCATCATACAAAATCCTTATGGATTTCTCAAAAATAATTTTGAATTCAGAACAGTTGTGATATTTATTAAATATTTAAGAAAAATCTAGGATTAATGGCTTAAAGAAATCTGTATCTTATATGTAAAAAGAAATGGTATGATTCCTTCTTTTTATGTACAAGTTGAGCATGTTATGTGTAAAATCCATAATCAGAATTGCTTCAAAATCCAAAACTTTTTGAATGATGACATTACACTAAAAAAATGTCAGATTTAGAGCATTCTAATTTTGGATTGGGATTGCTCAACTGGTAAAATCTATGCAAGTATTTCACAAGTAAAACCAAAACAAAAAGAATTGGAATTACTTTTGTTCCCAAATCATTTTGTAGAACAGATATTTAAACTGTAGGTGCTTTGCAAAAGTAAATTTCAAAAGTAGAGTCCTGAACTCATTTAGTATCTCAATGATAGTTAAAGATAAATTGAAGACAAAAAGTCAGAAGTGTAGTGTGTGACTGGTCAGTGGTTTGTGTTTGGTGATCCTGCTGACTCAGGAATGTAATCCTCGTCTGTGCCAGTTGGACATTTATGCATCTTCCTTCAGTTGTTCACCAGTCTTGGAAAGATATACCAAGACTCACTATGACAGTAAAGAAATGAAGATAAAAGTAAACTCAATTCTTAGTATGTCAAAGCAGACTTCAGGTAGTAAACTGGCAAATACCAGCAATTAACCTTTTTACTCTCTCCTAAATGCTGTGTTATTTAGTAGGTGCCTGCCTGCTTGGCCCTCTAAGAGACTTTGAAAATAATTACCAGAGCTGTTCATTAATCTCAAATTGCCATCTACTTCACTTCTTCCATGTCCAGAAGAGTAGTCTGTGTCTTCATACACTATGCCTACATGGTTGGTTTGGTAGGTTATGTGCAGCCAAAAATAAAAGTGAATGTAGGTTCTCCCTATTGTGCTTGTTACAGAAGTGGCATTAGGAGAATTCTTGGACCTTAATCACACCTTCCTTAGTGTACCATGCTCATGGTGGTGATCCCAGACTGCTGCCTCTGTGGGGCTAGTGTCACGTATCCCCCTTGGGATACTGTGGGAAAGGAAATGGTGGAGATAACCACAGGTTTGTCAGAAGTGCCTTCTGTTAAGGAAAGTTAATACTGACAACATTTTGCATATCACTGATGACTAAGTCACGGTTACCATAAAAGAGGTAGTGCATTCTGTCAGTTATATTCTTACACCTAACACTTATAATTTATAAATCAAACCAGTAAAAATAAAGTAGTATGTGGGAGTATAGACTGTTGTATAAGACAAAATAGATTAATTCATACCCCAAAAAGTGGCTTTGTGGAAAGACTTTTGCTAAGAATAACAAACACAGTATGTGTATATAAATGTATAAATCCTATTGAACTAATATAACTATAAACTCATCCCAGAGGTAATTGACTCTCATTCCTATAATTCTATATCGGCAAGACCATTGAAATGAAGATTTTCAAAATAGTATTTTTACAGTATTCACTTATTTAGGCTAGAAAGTCTTTTGAGTTTCTAAACACCCTAATTTTAAGTAGATGATAGCCAACCTGCATATTTTCATTCATTCACTTCTAACTAAGGATTCATTTCTTTCCACTATATTACATAAAATTTATTGATATAAACATGCTTGTTAATACGATCAACACTCCTTCCTAGCGCCTGAGGAAGAGTTTGCCCCCAGGCTTGTTGAGACGAGTTTCATCAACTTGGACAACTACCACCTCAGCCACGGGTCTGCCCACCTTGGAGCCTGCGCCAGTGCGGAGGGACCGCAGTGCCAGCATCAAGCTGCACGATGCACCTGCATCCAGGTGAGACAAGGCTCCTGCTGGTTTCCTGTCTCTCTGAGAAGTTTCTTACTGCAAAGAAGGACTTACAAATGAAGAGAGAGGAGAGGCCCAGTTGATTAGAGTTACAATCAATTACAGTTGATTGGAGGCCAGCCATGAAAATGGAAAGGGTGTGTAGTTTAAATGCAGAGCAGCGTAGAATTGATATTGGGTAATGTTTTAGCCACTTTCTTATCACTGGGACAAACTGCCACACACCCATAATTTAAAGAAGACCCATAATTTAAAGAAGAGGTCAATACAGAGTGGAGAAAGGGCATGGCAGAGGAAAACAGTTAGGTACAGAGAAAAAAGGGAAGATCCTTGGTCAAGAAAACACCCTTCCAAGCCATGGCCCTAGGGTCTTGCCTCCTCACAGCAGCCATCTACTGGATTCTTCCAGGGATGTGTCCCCTGGTGAGGATACCCTCCTCAGCACCCAGTCACCTTCCAAACACAGAAGACTTTGGGGGGACATTTTACTTCTAAATCACAACAGGGAAAATGGGTTTGGTTTTAAATACAAGGGCAAGAGTGACCCAAGATAGTGGCCCATTGTTTTCACCTTCAATGGAAAAGATTGAGTGCAGAATAAATGTGAGATAGATTCTGCCTACTCCGGAGGTTCAGTGCCTTCTGGGACACTGAAATCAAAGGCACTCAGCTTGACAGGTACAAACAATTATGAGAGTTCCAATCCACAGAGAAGCTGTGGATTGTGGGAAAGATAGGAAAGTAGCTTAAAAAGTACATCATCTTCCCAAAAGTATGTATGTATGTATAACTTTATTTTGCATATAATTTTACAAAGTGACTTAAAAGCTAGAATTAAATCCAAAGACAAGATACTGTAAAGATCTTCTGAAAAGAACTCTGAAGAAAATACCTACTGTCAGAGATTTGGGAGGGAGTTATTGTATTTCTTAGTTTCCAATTAAAGTATAAAATAGTATACTTTAAATTCAATATTGGCAAGAATATTTATCATATAATTTCATTTTTTGCAGCACACACACATAGAGGTTTCATTAACAATCCAGCAAGGAAAAAAATACCTATATCTTTGTTGAGTTACAAGATAGTGATATCAGAAGTAATTTTTTTTCATTATTTTAATTTCTAATGTAAATAAAGCACCATGCTGAGGTTGGCAGAGGAATAGACACCTTCTAGTGTGTGAGAACTTAATGACTGCTAACCTTTCTTGGTTTCTTGGTTAAAAGTGTTCAATTGGTTTCTTCCCTATTATTGTCTATATTCAGATAAACCTACAGAATCTGAAGCAAACTCAAGCAATTTTGTCATTTCTCAGCTCCATTCCATTTTACATTCTTACTTTTTGTAAAATTTCTTTTAAGTAGCACAACAGCAGGAAGTTATACTATGTTTTAGGAATATTCCCTAGAGATTGACTTGGTAATATTTTACTTTATAAATGTTGATTGTTGTCAATTTGTGTAGCATAAAATACTGCTGAGCAGTAGCTAATACTGTTATAGTTAAATGTGCTTAAGAAAATGCCTTATGTGCTCAGTGTGTATCCCTATCTTATTTTACCAATTTCTTGTCATAGTATAGTTAATGCTTCATGATTTTCTTTCCATAGAATGATATGGTGGAAAATCCTTCCAGCCCTTCTCAGATATCTTCTTTCTTTATGCTGTTTTTTTGTTGCTTTTGTTCAAATCTCATTTCCCCTACTCTTCGCTTAGTCAAATAAAATTGAGGACAAAAATTGAAAGCATAGACTACTGGAATATATTGGATTATTTTGCTGAATTCACACACCAACAATATTTAAATGGCAATGGAATACCCATCTCTGACAAAACTAAAAAAAAATGGGATATAAATGAAGGACCATTTTATATCTGTATATACAAAATAGGATAGATAGATAGCTACTTTCTCTTAATTCAATGAGAAAGATTTGTACTGATAGTGTTTGAAAAGGATATCATGTCTGCATTTTGTACTATGAATAACCACTAAGAAGATAATATGCAATGTTTTAATTACCGAAACTGTCCTGCAAATCGGTTTTGAAACTGTCTCATTGCTATTTGTTTCTCAATAAAATTAATTTTAAAAAGAAATTGAAATCATAACAAATAAGGTTCCATGAAACTTTAAGAGCTTGTTTCCTAGGGATGCTGTCATTAACTTAACTCCTATAACAATCCTTACAAAATAAATACTCAAAGTTAAATGTTTTCAATAGAGATGAAATTTTACATATTTTACTCATTAGCTTTCTCCTAAAAACAGTCCTTCATATCTTACTTAGCTATAGATTTTCCTCTCTTTACCACTCAGTTTCACTGTTCCGTAAAAGTCCTGTCATAAAATCTGAAAGTGATACAACTTTTTCCTCTCAGAACCAATTTATTGTATTAAGGGGACACTAAATGAGTAGTGACCAGTGTATGCCATAAACTGAAACTGGCCTTTGATTATAAACCTGAGATAAAGCCCTCTTCATGTGGAGATCTGTTATTCAAACAGATGATTGGCTTGAAAACTGCTTTGAGTTTTAGCCCTGAAGTTGCTTCCTTTTAAAGCCCTCTTCTCTTCCTTTCCATACTTGTCCTTTCCCTGGGACACCTTGAGGACTACAGCAATCAAAAGAAAAGAAGCATTAAGGAGATAAAATTAAAAACAGTCTATACCTCATGACTCTAGATACCATTTCCTTCTGGGAAATGGTAAATAGAAAAGAGGCAGAACCGAAAAGCAGAAGAATCTGGACCATGCAGCCTGTAGTGGTGCTGAGCCTCCATATCCACTCCAGGAAATAGTTAGGAGAAGAGAAATGGTGCACCATTAGTGGGATAAATTAGATGGAAGAGTAGAAGCTGGTGGTTAGAAAGTCTTGAAAGAAATAGAAAAGGATAATGTACATCATACCCTGAGTCATTTGAATTAAGCATGCAACTGACCCCTGCCTTTATATGTGAGACAAAAGAAAACTATAAACTTTGTAAAAGGGGGTACTATCCACTCAGTAAGGCTTCTAGGATCTGGGATGGAGTTGTTACAGAGATAGATACTGGTAAAAATCTACTTGGACACATAGGATTGAGGTCTTTGTTCATAGGCCCAGAGATATTTGTCTTTTCCTTGTTAACATGAAGCAAACAAAGTTTTCCTTAAACTGATTTCATCTCTACAATCCAAATTATGATGTATAGATGGGAATCAGGAAGTGAGTCTATGAAAAGCACAAACTGTGGAGATTATGCAAAGCAGTACATGAGTGCTGGGGAACTATAATGCACTTTATATAAAAGCATGTATTCAATTTTGATAATAGTATAATAAATTAAAAGTAGTGTATATAGTATTAAAATGAGATAAATGGGCCGGCCAGATAGCTCAGTGGATTAAAGTACCTGCTTAGGCAGACATTGGGTCTGGGTTCGACCCCTGGCATACCCTGCTGTCCCCACTCCTAGGGCACACTGAGATGCAGATTGAGACTGGTCATGGTGGCACATCTGTAATCCCAGCACTTGTGAGGCTGAAAACAGAGGATCACTACAAGTCCAATCTGTGTAGCGACAGCCTGTAGACCCTGTACTAAATACATTAAAAATAATAATAAAATGAGACAGATATGGCCAGTATTTTATTTATTTTGATGTCATCAAATACTTATGCACTAAAAGTATTCACTTGTTGGGCTGGCCTGATAGCTCAGCAGACCAAAGTGCCTGTTTAGGCTGAGCACAGTGGCCAGGCTTGTCCCACCTCTGGGGTCCGCTGAGATGGTGATTGAGAATGGGCATGGTGGTGCACACCTGTAATCCCAGCGCTTGGGAGGCTGAAAAATAGGAGGATCACTATAAGTCCAACCTAGTAGTGAGACCCTGTAGACCCTGTATCCTCTGTACTAAATGCAAAAATAAATAAAAGTATTCAGTTGTTATACTTGATAAATTTTTCTTTTCTTTTCTTTTTTTGGTATTTTAGGGAAGGGTCTAGAGGGTGTTCAGCATCTCACTACTAGCTCAGACTCGTAGAGATCTGCCTGTTTACAGCCTCTCAACAGTTGGGATTATAGGCAAGTGCCACCATGCGCAGTCTCAATTGCCTACTCAGTGTCCACCAGGGGTGGGACTGGCATGGCAGGCCTGGGGATTGAATCCCAGGCCCCTGCACCTGCTTGCAGGTGGTTTAATCCACTGAGCTATTTCACTGGCCCTTAAATTTTTCAAAGTAAGTACTTTTTTAATGTTTTTATTTGGAAAATAACAATTTTACAGCTAGTCTTTATAATAAATGTTTTCAAGTTATTAAAATGCTATTTGAGCTTTAGCCTCTAAAAGTCTACATAGAATATTAATTCATTGTGTTATGTACAAAGAAACTAAAATATTTACTACACAGGCATAACATAAAATTTCCTCACAGAAAATCTTATCATCAATTCATCAGTCCAGCAAAATGAGTTGAAAAATGAGTACTGGAAGGAAAAAGTTGATAATCTGTTTCAGACCCAAGGTTTTCTTTGATCCTATTATTCCCATCATTTCAAGCAGTTGTAAAATGCCTAGGATGAGATTTCTAAGGACGTGAAACAAATACTTTATATGCTTCCAATAATTGTTTTAGAGAATTGGTGAAGTTCATTGCACTTTTCAAATGTTTCTTTTATGATAGATTTCATAAACTACTATTAGAAGTAAGAAGAAACAGATAGGGCCGGCCAAATAGCTCAGCAGATTAAAGCGCTTGCAAGCAGGCATAGCGGCCCAGGCTTCAATCCCCAGGCCTGCTGTGCCAGCACTGCCCCCGAGGTTTGCTGAGTAGGGAATTGAGACTGGGTGTGGTAGCACATGCCTGTAATCCCAGTGCTTGGGAGGCTATAAACAGGTGGATCACTATGAACCCAAGCTAGTAATGAGACACTGAACAAAGAAGAAGGAAGATGGGGAGGGGGAGGGGGAGGGGGAGGGCGAGGTGAAGCTTTTAAATACCTGGATTAATGATTGAAAAGAAAAATCTCTCTAACTTAGAAAAGAGAGAGGAAAAAATATAATCCAAATATCAGACCATAGAATCAGCCTCAACACAAGCTGTAGATTGTATTCTTTGCCTGATTTACTGATAATCAAAGAGTATGGCAATAGCACAGCACATACTCCTGCATTCTTCCTTTTGTGAGATCTGATAGTATTAGTGTAGCTACCTAAATGTCCCTTTATTCCACGTTAGAACATGTTCTGGTTTGGATTTAATATTCAAATTTCTAAAAAAAAACTCATATAGAATATTGTCAGCACAGAGAGGGCTATTTGGCTATGGAACTTCTCAAATTGGACTCCTTTCATTACACAGCGAACATGTCAATCTCCAAATGTCCATGACCCCACATTTCCATTAATTTCAGGTTTATTTTCAATAAGTCTTCCAGACAGACCAGACACATCCTGCCTGCAGTGCCAGCCTAAGATTGGCAGAAGGTCCAATTGTCAGATCATGTTCATGCAAATGACATTTTATCCAGGACAAAATTCGCACCAACACAGGTGTCGCTAGAACACAGTGCAAGCCCCTTCCCCTTACAGCAGTCCCAAGAGCCTCAACGCAGCTTCCTGAACTGTTTTCTCTCCCAAATTAGGATGAATTCTGTTTTAGATTTAACTTGTAAATTTTTGTGCAGTACATGGAGCAAAATCTTTCCTTGGAATTCATCCAAAATTCATATCCTGTGAATCTCTCAGTTTATATAACATTCCTCCATAGATCTATTAATTCCAGATTTACTTACAGTAAGCAACCTAGATGGACCAAGTACCTTCTTATGACAGCATTATCTAGAAGACTGACTGTTACTTTCCCCGTAGTAGATATTAATGAATTTAGTTTCATTTCTGTAACTTGCTTTTCTCTCTCTCTCTCTCTCTCTCTCTCTCTCTCTCTCTCTCTCTCTCTCTCTCTCTCTCTCTCTCTCTCTCTTTCTTTCTTTCTTTCTTTCTTTTCTACCAGGGATTCAACTCAGGATCTTGCGCTTGCCAGGCAAGTGCTTATTCTACTGAGCTATCTCCCTGGCCCCATAACTTTCTTTCCAGGGTACCATCATTAAAGAAAACTTACAGGCAAGAGGTCTAGTGCTAGGCAAATACTGCAATAAAATGTTTTGAATGAAAAAATGTGTTGAATGGTTTTATGAGGGTTTAATTTTTTGAACGTGGATTTGCAAGAAAATTCTGGGAGGAATATGATTTTAGAACTAGGTGAAAGTGTTTGATTCACATGAATTGAATAAACAATATTTTCTTTTCTTTTTTGTTAGCTAGTGTTCTTTCCAAGTGCCTGATACACATCCCTGTGACAGGACCTGAGCCTACATAACATGTCTTATCATTTGGAAGGAAAGTGGTCTATCAAAGAATGTTGACCAATGCTCAGATTGGGGATTTATTATGAAAATGATGTTTGGGTTCTGATATGATTTGCCCACTAATTATTGAATAATGTATTCAATTTTTTTTTTTTTTTGCAATCTTATCTTGACAGTACTGTTAATCCCGATTCTTGGAGTAGCCCAGTGATAATGACCCTCACCAAAAGCAGATCCTTCACTTCATCCTATGCTGTGTCTGCGGCTAACCACGTAAAGGCTAAGAAACAAAATCGACCAGGCAAGTATCCTGCGGGGCGAGATGCTCCTCCTCTGGCAATTCAGTCAGGGAGTAACTGACCCTAAACATGGAAATCTTCTGAGGGTGCTCTGCACTCAGATGTCTTTGTTGTGATGTTTAAAGGAGAAAACGTTGGACTGAGATGCAGCTGAGTGGTGGAGCACTCACCTCTAGGCAGATGACAGGGGATTGCTTTACAGGTGCTGTTCTTCCTCCCACAGAAGGAAAGGAAGCAACCAAGCAAAGACAAGAAAGCATCAATAACTAATAACCAGCTAGTTCCTGAAGTTCCCACTTCATGTGACCATAGAAATCTCTAGAAGTTGCTGTACCAGATTTTCTATCTTGAAATTACTGGATGAATAGGAAATGAGTTGCATAGTTCCTTGTGATCTCTAATTTTCATTTTTATTTTTAGACTTTGGTAAAAATTACTTTTCAGGAGCAGGGTATTTGTGAGTTTGAGGAAATGTTTCACTTGCTATACATGACCTATGATAAGGAATTTAGATATCAAAATTAAGAAGGATAAAGTTTAGATAGGAAACTAAAAGGATCCACAAAGAGATTGCCTTATTTAACCAGAATTTCTGTGGACTCAAAACTGGGACAAACAGTTTTGTCAGATTCTGTTTGAATTGTTCCCCTCCCACAATCTCAACGGAGAGCCTGAGGTGTTTACTCTGACCTCCTCTGTGCTTGTTAGAAGGAGAATACTAACTCCAAGTTTTTACTTCTCACATTGTAGAGAACTTTCATGAGGCTTTCAATTACTTTCTACCGAGTTTCTGAAAATTCTGTCTTGAACAGCATGAAAATTCATCAGATGGCTCAAGGGGAAGCTGCCCCCCTCTGGCTGAGATGTTTGACGTGCCAGCTCTGGTTGTGAGGGCAGCCCCAAAACTTCAGCTTCTTTGTCATCACTCTGGTGACATTGCTTAAAGCCCTGCTGGCGCGCCTCTCTCACAGCTGCCCCCTCTGCCTGGATTCTCAGCCTCCTGCTCCCTTCCAGTCCTCAGTAAATAACACTCCCGGGAGAGCGCGGGCTGCAGCATGTTGGCCCACGCTCAAAGGTGCTCTTCTCTCTGGGCAGCCAGTTCCTCAGAACTCTGCCTTGAGAGTTCTTTCTTTCTTTTTTTATCCTCAGCTTTTCCATTCTCAAAAAAGCCTGAGTTCAGTGAATTGCATTTTCACAAAAAGCAGAAGGCCCCCCAAACAGCAATGTTTAATAAATGAAAAACCCATGTAGGTTGCTTATCTTTCACTAATATTCTAAGGGCCACCTTGAAATATGAACTTTAAAATTTTAAAAAGCAAAATTTAGGGCAGTATCACTGTTGTTACATCTAGTAAAAACATTTAGTACTTTTTCCTTTGATTGCCTATTTTATATAAGGTAACTGTTCCTTGATATCTTTGCCTAATGTACTTAAATCTCTCTTGTTTAGTGTAGGAAGGCACTTCCTCCAAAAAGGTAGAATTTTACTGGAATTCCACTAGAGAAAGAAATCATTATAGGTAATCTGGTTTTGCAACAATAATCTGGCCCTCTCTGCTCTGATGTTCATTAAACTTTATAACTTAGAAGTCCTTAATGACCTGAGAAATAGAATTGAGTTTTTACTAGGACCAGGCAATGTAGGATAATGTAGGCAAATACTTAACTGAAAAGACCCAGAGGGCAAACACAGATTAGCTTGGTAATGACGATACTCATTTGGGATACCAGAAAAGTGGAAGAACTGAATTCAAGAATTCCACTTTAACAAGACACTCTTATAGGAGCATTAAAGTGGCCAGAGCTCTGTAGGATCCTTTCATCCCCTGCAAAAATTTGAACAGTTACCAATTAATCATCAGATTTTAAGAGCTCGGATTCAAATATAGACTGTACAACCATCATCCCTACATACACAAGAAACATCATGAGTTAGAGTTAATTGCAACAACATCAACAAAAAATCTTTCTTGGGGCCGGGGAGATGGCTCAGTGGAATAAGTGCTTCTCTGGCAAGCACAAGGGCCTGAGTTCAATCCCCGGATCTGTAAAAAAAATAATAATAATAATTCTATAGATTTAATATGTACTAATTCCCAAAGAAGGATATAATTATTATGTAGCACAAACATATGCCAAATAAATAAAAAGAATTTTTCACCAAAGGTGTTTATGATAAATACGTTCTAGAATGAAAAATGATAGCAGGAAGTATGAGATCTAATTGAAATAAATTTGAAAAACATGGATGGATCCAAATGAACCTTGCGTGTGTAAGTATTATTTTTAGACTCATAGGTAGCTTTGTAGTTGTTGTTGTTGCTGTTATTGTGACTGGGACTCCTTTTTTCTTCCTGGTACTGTGGATCAAACCAGAGGTACTCACCGCTGAATTACATCACCAGCCCTTTTATTTTTTAATCTGGAGATATGATCTCACCCAGCTGCCCAAGCTGGCTTGAAACTTTGAATTTTCCAGGCTTCCTGAGTACCTGGAATTACAGTAGATATACTATGTCATGCCTGGGTTTTTTTGGTAGTTTTTGAGGTTGGTAGTGGGTAGTTTTTCTGAATGTCGGAGTCAAACTATAGGACAATAACATGTAACTTAATGGATAAAGTATGAGTTTTAGTATTCTGTTTTATTCTTTTGCAGAACAGGAAGGAGAATCAGATGAGGAAACTGAAGTACACAAATCTTAAGTAACTTTTACCAAAGGCCACATGATTGCTTGCTTTTTCTTTTAGCCTTGGGACTAGACTAAAAAAACCATTAAGGACATATTGTTATTCTGACTTTTTTTTTTTTTTAGTGAAAAAAACTATTTTCTTAAAGCTTTTTTCCACATAGATGCAAATTTTTTTTCCATAATTTTATTGAGAAACAAATAGCAAT